TGATAATTCGTGGGCGATAAGGATCATCACGGGTGTCATCAGTCCGCGAAATTGCTTATACTGAAGAAGACCGGCATCAAGAGCACCACACACAGACACACACTCTTTCTCTACCCACACAACCTTTCATCTTCTAATGGCAAACTAAACACTGCCTCCAGAGATGATCATGAACGGGATTGCTAACAAAACTAAAAGTTCTTCTCCGCATTCCAAACACGAGTTGATCTGTAAATCAACGCCTATCAGGCCCCCTTTTTAATTAGATCAGAGGCAATTTCAACTATCATAAAGCAAACATAAGGTAAAACGCTCTTTGAGCCTGAAATTCAGTTCCAAGTGCGAACAGTTTTCTGAGTTATCTGACCGGTTGGCGGCTTTCTACCTCATGGCAGTTTATATGTTTTCAAGGTTTGCCTGGCTATTTACGGTGAGGAACTGGGAACTTCAGCCGGGTTGGATCACTCATGTTTTTTTCTCCCATACAGCAATATTTCGTTTGAGTCAGATCGACAGGGAATGAAATCTGAGGTAACCAATGTCTGTGCGACCCTTTTAACCTGACAACAAATGCTTACCCTAATAGACACAATCGGCAAGCATAGGGTTAGGCTGATGTATAAATGGGTGCATGATACGGCCCAATTCAGTGCTAACAAGCCACTTCACTTGAAAGACGACGATGGGCATGTCATCGTGTCTGTCTTCTGCGTACGGCTGCAACAGAATACAAAATTAACGGCCGTGCCTCATTTGGTTCGGCTTTTTGAACTCTAGAAGAACGTGTAGCTTTATTGTTCACTCTCGCAGGCTCCTTTTTGAAAGTTTGAGTGTCATTCTTAGATTTTGATAATTATTTCATAGCTGAAAAGTTACATGAACATGAGTACTATTGATCTGATCGTGATGATGCTTTGACACCATAAAAACTTTCTTCGTGCTAGTATAGGTCGACATCGGGCTCTACAGCATTAAGCGTGCACATAACCACACTGAGTAGTTCTCTTGTAACTATACATACGGTTCGGTCACAGCGGATGGGATAGAAGATCAACATACCTAAAGACGAAATAAAGTGCGTTATTTGCTGGGTCAATGTTTTTCTAGCCCAAAAGACTACTCAAAGGGATATGAAGTCGACGAATAGCGCATAGACTTGACAGAGAGGACGGGTACCCTGTCTTTAGTGACACAATGTGTCACAACTTGGCAGAAATTCGCCCTCGGGATGTCGAAGTTATTGGCCACAGAAAGGACAGCATGGTCGGGGAAGTACTGATGGCTTAGGTGCACAACTGCGACATCTGTCAGTCGTTGCGCAACTCGCCCTGCGGCATATTAGGTTCCACGGACGTATCCCGACCGATCGGACAGCGAAGCCGATATGAGTTAGTACATGAACGTGGAAGGCAGCAGAATGGCAATTAAAGAGAGTATAAGCGCGAGTAATCACTGCATAACGGAGATCAGCTGACCGCCGGTTGCTTTCATCTAAGG